ACATGAACGTGAATAAACTTAACATAATTGACGAGACATAACACTAACATAATGTATATGACTGTAAAAGGACGGTGAACAGGATAACAACTGTAAAAATATAGATAAATACTGAATGATTAAAGTGATCATCATTGAGATAAGTAATAGAGAATTATTTACAGTATATTCATAGCATCAAATGAAAAATAAAAACCAAATGTAGCAGAAAAAATTACACTTGAACAAACACCAGTGTCATAAAAACTAACGAAAATGACAGAAACCATTTTTGAGAAAAAAAAAACATTTGATGTCTACTGACTTTTTAGTGTGGTCCATGTCCCATCAATTAACATGGCAGAGGGAATTATGACCTATACTGCAGCCAGCCACCAGGGGGTAATCAAGACATTCCCTTTTGGGAAGCTGTCATGTTGCACATCTTTTTTTAACAGTCTGATTGAAACCGGTCGGCTCCACACAATGCACCTAATGCCTCACAGCATGTAAGCCCATAGCAAGGAGCCTGGCCCAGCATTTCATATGTCAGCGCCAAGTTCAGTATCGTTTTGATTTTCAACATGGATTCATTTCAAATAATCTCATCTGTGAACCAGTAATGCATCAATCATGTGATTATTCAGACACACTCTACACAACGAACTCATCTATTGTTTGCTTATTTTCTTTGTATTATGATTTTTGTGTGTGTTCAGACAGACCCAGCCACACAGCTGCTGTTGTTGCTGCCGTTGTCCTCCTCCTCCTTCTGGCTGTAGCTGCTGTCGTGTACTCCAGGTGTCACCTCAACATCAAACTATGGTACCGGAACTCCTACGGAGACTATGAGCTCAATGGTGAGACTGATGCTGAGGTGCCAATAAATACCGAAAATAATGCAGCAGTGAAGCCGAACTTCTATGATTGTGGTTCTCTGTGTCATCAGACGGGAAATTATATGACACCTACATCTCCTATGTGAGCAACGACTATGACAGGAAGTTTGTCAACTTTATTCTCAAACCTCACCTGGAAAATAAAAGTGGCTACAAAGTGCATCTCAATGACAATGACATCCTACCTGGTGGAGGTCAGTTCACATTCTCATACTATTTTACAAGGATTCAACTGCATAAATATCCCTGTAACCACCACAAATAATATTTCTTGTGTGGTTTTGGGTCCAATATGTTGATATACTGTGTCAAAGTGAAAAAATATATATTTTTGTCATATGGGCGAATTAAGCTGAAAAAAAGATTACAAAATATAAAGAGGCGAAATGAAAAAAGTGTTAAACTGCCAAAATAGTCAAGGACTCTTCAGGGTTAATGTGCATTTTATCTTGTTTATCTTGCTTAATAATCAGAGATACTGGATTCTGGGTTGATGTGGTTTGCCACTTACAAATTTGCTTCTTTAAACAATACACGATGTGTCTCCAGAACCTTCTGCAGAGCTGTTGATGAACATGAGTCGCTCTCGGCGCCTCATCGTGGTGCTCTCTCATGCTTACCTTGAGCAGGACTGGTGCTGCAGTAACTTCAGGTCAGACTCACAAACCCCAGTCAAATTATTATGGCATCATTACAATGTACCAAGTGTTGTTGTGATGTACCTCGGTGTCTGTGTGTATACATGACACTGTTGCTGTGGGTTTTGTTTAGACAGGGCCTTCTGCACTTGTTAGAGATATGTCAGCGGCCCATCCTCATCATGTTGGAGGGGCAGTCCAAACGCATGAGGCCTGAGGTGAAGGAGCAGCTGAGTGAGCAGCAGCACTGCCTCACTGTTCTCACCTGGAGACACAACTCTGTGGTAAAACCTGTTACTGCTCTCTTGACAGAAAGAAAGACTTCTGATCACATCTACAAAATACAAAAATACACCATTATTATGATTCTGTACTGAGTAGTATTTAAGTCATTACTCTTTATGCAGAATACCTTATAAATGTTATACCTGACATCAAGGTTCTGCCCCTTCATCTCTCTGCCCTTTGTTTGAAGGAATTAAATGTGGAAAATTATCTCGATGATGATTTGACTATTGAACATATTTGTAGATCCCTTTAATCACCTGAAAACATGTGTTTAATTTCCTCTAAAGCATTAAATATTAACGACTAAAGAAGTAACAATCAGAATTAAGAGATCACTCAGGTAATCTGCTTCCTCAGGACTTTGTGGATGGGATCAGATTTTACACTGCAAATCAGAATAAAAACAGACAAGACAGTCTGGACAGTACTGTTACTTTTAAATCATTTGCTAACAACAAATTATGCAAGTGTGATTTTATTTTAGTATAAGGTGTCATTGGAATGGATATGAATATAAAAGTATAAACAGTACTATATAATATGATATAAGCGAGCAAGGCTAATTATGGTTCAAGAATAATGAATGTCTCAGTTTGACTCTAACAGCATGGTGTTATATTTGGTCCTTCTGTTCACAGACTCCTTCCTCGGTCTTCTGGAAGGAGCTGGACTTATTGATGCCTCGCCAGGTCTCCTTCCACGCTGAGTACGCAGGTGACCCACAGACTATGCTTCAAGACGACAAAGACCCCATGCTGACCCTCGAACCCGACTACCTAAACTGCAACTCAGATGTTGACCCTGCTGGAGATCTGGGTAAGAGCAGCAGTCACTAATATTACATTAACTTACTCTTAATAGGACATTGCAAATACCTTTGCATACATTAAAAATGCCAATTTTTTTGCACATGCAAATTAAAGAAACTTATTATAAAGTTGTACTAACTTGCACAAATTACAGTGAAAAGTATGAGGTTCTATGTAAAAGTTAATAATTCAGTACGACAAAATACTGGGCAAGTAATTTCATGTTAAACTACCTGACCATGACTCATGTCCATATTGTAGTAGTAAATTAAATGCTTGCCACCTGTGTGACTTTTATTCTACTTTCAACAACATGAGAACTAGAATAGAAGAAGTTACAGCCTTTACACACGTTTCAACAGACTGAACCTGGACCTGCATTTGTCCTAGTGTGAATCAACACAGATTTGACTGTAGTTAATCTTTAACTTCAGTATTAGGAAATCATCACCCGATTATCTTGTACATATCGGCAGTATTGACTTGTCTGTGATGTTAAAAACAGTCATTTAGACGTCTAGACGTGCTCTTTCTATCTGTTTATACAAAGCGAATATCAGTGTATCATGGCAGTAGTTTCATATCTGATGGGCAGATATGAAATCTTATCAAACTTCTCAGCAGGAAATACTACAGTTATATGTCACATTATCTTAATAAGTTAATAACGACACAGCTTAAACACCATAAAAGAAAAACATATTTGCATGGATTTTTGAATATTGATTTTTCAAGCTTTTCTCTTTCTACTGCAGGGCTCCGCCTCCCCGTGTACAAGGCTCTGGCCTGTAAAGCCCCCGTCCTCCCTGCTGCTCCCATCACAGCCACTGAACCCAAACCCTCAGACATCGACGTGTCCGACTTGGGCTCTCGCAACTACGGAGCCCGCTCAGACTTCTACTGCCTGGTCTCTGAGGACATATGAGCCGCACTACCCTCAACTCTGAAAATGACCACCTAGCGTGACTTTATATTTATCCCTGTTGAGTAGCTAAATATTTTCCTTTTCTTTATGATGTGTTGGTAAAAATCAAAATATTACAGTTTTATATTTCCTTTCACCAAAGACTGAGTTTGATGTTTTTGTATTTTGTACTGTTGTGAAAATATTTTAAATCTAAAGTTTGTGTCAATCAGGGAAAGAATCGACCTTAATTACTGTTTTTACTGTTTTAATCCATGAAGTTTGTTATAGTCGTCCAGCAGAGGGCAGAGTAATGTGTGTGTGTGTGTGTGTGTGTGTGTGTGTGTGTGTGTGTGTACCTGCAGAGAAAAAAAGAGCTGAAATAAGGGCGCAGCAGGGGAAGGTCTGGTATTGTTCCTGTCTGAGCAGGATCAAATATGTAAACAGGGAGTGGCCACCATTTCACCTTGTTAATGTCAGGATTTTTACAGCTACACAACAATAAAGGCTGCGGCACACATACACACGAGAAATGCTTACAAGACAGTTCATTTCGACATTTGTCTCTTTATTAGTTAAAAATATCCAGATGATACATGTGCCTGAATACAACACAAAAGCAAATATGAGAAGTCAGTGTTTTCTCAAAACACACACACAGTGACATACACACTATAGTTAAGATTATTTTTCTTTTACGAGTCAATTTAAATAAATTCAATTGGCCAATTGAAATAAATTCAATCTGAAAAGTGTTACATTTTGCAATTGGTCTTAAACACTAAACAAAGGCTGTCAACAAAGGTAAGACCGTATCCTTCCACCTGTGATTCACATTCACACCATTTATTACGTTAGACTAACAGCAGTTATATAAAACAAGAAGGAAACAGACTTAATGTTACTTTATGAGCTCTCTATGTTTTCACACAGCATTTTATAAGATGAGACAGATTTTGCAACTTTAAAAAGCCCACAGCTAAATGCAGAAGTCCACTAAAGAGGCACAATCTTGATCCCCAGATTTCTGAATCAAATCTATTTACATCTTTGCAAACTGTATATCTAAATATCTCTTCTGACGTACATTCACTTATAACTACACGTTATAATTTTGACACATATACACACTTTTATCCAAAAGGTAAGTACAAAGCTACACGTATTAAAACATGATGTCTGTGTAAAAGAGGAAGCATTATTTACAAGAAGAATGCCACATTAGTACCGACTGTTTTGTATTTAATGCAGTGGATTAAGTGCAATGAGAAGATAGAGGCACAAGTGTCCTGCATGTTGTCATTTAAGACTTTGACAAACGATTTTTAAAAAGGCAGATACACAAACAGCTGTTTACAGTTTTATCTGGATACATGTTGCCCTGGAAAAAAAATCCCTGATTCTGTACTAAACACACATACACAAACACACACACACACACAGCTCCAACTAAGAGGTTAAGGTGCACACATTTGTATCAAGAGTCCACAGATGAATCCGTCGTAGCTGGATTTCTTACAAAAGTCCATTGACTTTTAAAACACACACAAAACTCTTTTCTTTCAGCAGGTAGATCCTCTATCACCGATGTGTTCATGTTCTTCTGTTATCTTTGGAATGAATTAAGAGTTTATTTACTGCTCTCCCATAGGGTGCTGGTAGAGTGCAGGACTGATGGGTGTTTAAGAAGTGGATGTGTACCACATCACCTGTCTTACTTGTTTTAAAGCATATCAGAAAAATCCAGTCGTGAGAACCCTTTCTGTAAAGCAAAGAAGAAAAACAGACATGAAACACAAAAAGATGATCGTGCAGGACTGTTTCAATTATTTCTCCACGTAGTACTTATACTTCACGCCACAGAGGTGTGAACGACAGCTCATTTGATGTTGCAGACCTGGAGTGACCTCTGAGCTCACAATGCAGTGTAATAATTCAGTGTTTAAATATAAACGTACATTTTTCACATGTACATATTTTTTTATTGAAGAATATATAATATAATAGTATATAATATATATATATATATATAGAGAGAGAGAGAGAGAGAGAGAGAGAGAGAGAGAGAGAGAGAGAGTCCAAAACAAACATACACACATTTTTTGTTATGTCGTTACTTGTTCATTAGGGAACAGTCAGCGCTGCACCCTTGGGTGGGGCAAGCTGTGATCTGCAGAAGGCAGTCAACCGAACGTACCCGCCTCACTGGGTGAAAGTATGTGTGTGTGTGTGTGTATGTGTTGAAAGAGCAGCAGATATATACAAGTTTTGAACATGTGCTGCCCAAATGATATGAGAACCACAGATACACACACACAAAATCTCTTCCACTCTCACTCTTTTTTCATGCTTCAACACTTTGACACACGAAACGAGTGCACACCAACACACGCACACACTCATAGATATTGGAATGAAGGTGGGGCCCCATACATAGAAAGTGCTCTACAGATCATTGTCAACACACACACTGTTCCTGCCAGTGTTTTCTTTTAAACTGAAAACATTGTGTAAATTTTACACACATTTTATATTTTTATTTTAAATGTTCAACATGTGGATGATGGTTTCTTTACTGTACTTTACACAGCATGCAACATGCAAACATGGGGAAATTTGACCTCTGTACTTAACCCATCCATGTGAACGGAGCACACACGGAACAGTGGGCAGCCATGAAGGCGCCTGGGGAGCAATTGGGGGTTCAGTGCCTTGCTCAAGGGCACCTCGGCAGTGTCCAGGAGGTGAAATAGCACCTCTCCAACTTCCGTCCATGCTGGACTTGAACCGGCAAATTGGGGTTCAGTATCTTGCGCACGGACACTTAAGCATGTGGAATGGAGAAGACTGAGATCGAACTGCCGACCTTCTAGTTGGAGGACAACAGTCGCCCAACACAGGTGTGTTTTTTATAAATATTCATATTGACAAAAATATAATGTGTAAATAAGCTGTAGTGTAACGATGACAAAGGTCAGAAGCTTTCTTCAGAAAAGTGACAAAATTCTTCTACGAAGAAGAATGAGAGTAAACTTTTAAGACCTTGATAAAAAAGTGGTTTTATAATATTGTACCTGAGCAGCCACTGAGTTTAAACACATCGTATTTATGACCTATATCATGGTTCAGTAATAGTTACAATGCTCTCCTGTGTTGATGTGATCAGTAAGTGAGTGAGTCCTTTCATCAGAAAATCAATGATTCTTGATTTTTGGGGGGCAATATCATTTCTACGTTGTCTCACCGCTTTGTACTGTCTGTGCAGTTTCTTGTACTGGTACATGTTGCAGAGAACTGTGGCTGCTGCTTTGGCTGCTTTCATCTTCCCAGAGCTGAAAAAAACAAAGATCCGTCACAAATGAGCTTGTGTGGGACGACAGGCTGCAACATTCTGTGCAACATTTAGTATCAAATGTAATGTAAATGTTTAAATATGTGTAGCAGGACTCATGATAACACATTTAACTAATACAGAATGTTTTATCAATCACCACGTTCAGACCTGGTGCCACTCGAGGCCTTGATGTTGACCAGTTTGGGCAGACCGCCGAAGAAGGTGATGTCTCTGGCCGCTAAAGAGCTGCCCGTCACCAGGTTGTTGAGAATACCACAGATGTTCACCACTACATCGCTGGACGGCTCCTTCTGGTGCCCATCTTCCGGCAGCTTGGTCACCAGGTTGTTTACAACCTTCGTCGCTGAATATAAAAATATGTATTGTTAGGATAACACTGCACATTCAAAGGCCTCGAAAACCTTTTTCATAATCAGCTTTTTACTATTAGAAATGATATGATGAACATGAACATACAGATTCCTGCCAAAGTTCAAAAAGTGTGTTGCTTCTCTACAGACTGCTGTCAATCAAATCTGATAAAACAACTCCTACACAAAAAAACATTAATAACTTCAAATTGGACATTCCTCAGAGGGGAACATAACACCAATAAAATAAAATACAACATTTCAATGCCATGAATTGTGTGAAAATTTCACAAGTAGATTTTCAGTTGCTTTAAAGGTTCAAATGGTCAGAGCTAATATTTGCTACCCTACAAAAAAGTGAAGGGGATCGTCCAGACAAGCTACAAGAAGGTAAACACATGTGAGAAGTGAGTCTTCTTCCAATGTGCCATATTTTTAAAAATGCAACATGAAGGAAAAATGGAAGACCAACCCATGTTGCCCTTGTCCTTGGCATGACGGGACAGATTTCGGAGGAGGCCTGTGATGGAACGCAGCTCCACGTCTTTGTTGGTACGTAGCAGGTCCAGCAGCATTGGCAGCATGCGCTCCTGCTCCAGAGCCACCCGGCTCAGTACTGATGCCCACTGCAGGACAAAGAGGAAAATAAATATTATGAGACAAACTACGATCGTAGCATTTTAGCCTTTTCACAGGTGAACCGAAAAATATATGGTTCTTACCCTCATGTCTCCGGCTGTGATGTTCTGCAGAGCTCCGGCGGCTGCCTCGCGGGTGGTGGAGTTGATCTCGCACTGATGCAGCACGCGGTTGTACACCCCAACTATCTGAGGGTGCCACAGCCACTCCATACCCTTTGGCACCCGTGCCACCTCAGTGAAAGTGGAGAGATCCTGGTTCTTGACCTGTTGGAGGAAGGAACACAAAAGGAAACAGAGTTGAGATGGAGGTTCTGGTTCCTGGACACAAAAAGCCACAAGTTGAACATGTACGTACGTTTTTAGCTTTCCTGCTCTGAGGTGTAAAGCAACCAATGGCCTCGCCGTTCCCTGAGTCCTGAGCTCTGGTTGGTCCTTCCAGGCGCATCATGGCAGATGGAGGCATCTCATTGTAGAGCTGGTAGGAGAGGTTCCGCAAGACACACACTGCGTTTTCCACCCCCTAAGAGCACACACACAGATACACACAGTAAAGGTAAGATGTGGGTTGAAGTGATGCTGTTTGAATGAGGCTCAGTCTCCTCCGGTCTCACCTTGTCTTCTGCCTTGTTCGCATTGAGGGACGACTGGATGTAGTGGACCAAAGAGTCCACCAGTCCGTTGGTCTCTCTCATCTGCTGACGAGTCTTCTCGTTCACAGAGCTCAGATTCCTGCACACACAGTAATTAAAGATAAAAGTCAGTCAGGAGTCATGCATTTCATAAGATGCAAATGGAGCACAGCACAGTTTGGCTTGCAGGGGCTTTTCCACTTTTGGACCTATGCTTCACCTTCAAATTTTTTTTGATCAAAGCAATAATTTTCTAGATAAATAATTTGCAGAAAGCTTTGCAAATATTCCCCACATGCAAATGTATTCATTAAAGCCCTCAGGTGTGCACACAAACAGAGCAGAACAAAAGCGACTGGAGGCAGGAGCGATGCAGGCTTCTGCAAACAACAGTGAAGAGTAATGGGTGTGGTAAAAGCTCTGGTGGCTGTCAGCTGACACACGAGTTGACTGGACTGGTTTACCCGATGCAATGTGATCATGGGAGAAGAAGCAGGCGCAGATGAACCAGAATGAAAAAACTTGTTTCAGTAACACTTTGCAGCTGCAGGGATGGAACGGAGAAAAATATTGGTGCACCTGAGGCATCCCGTGGTGTTGTAGTAAATGTCGGCCTCGGAGGGGGACTGAAAGATGTCGTCGTAGTCTCCGCCACCAGACAGAGGGATGAGGACCTTCTCGGTCAAATCAGGAAGGGTCTCCCGGGCCAGTTTCTCCTTCAGGTTGTCTTTGGATGAAAGATTCCACAGGATACCTGCACATACACACACACACACACCAGGAACGTGTCAGCAACATCCTCATCTAGGATGTCAGAAGTCTTAACATTTTCATTTGAATCATTGTGAAGCATTTTGGGAAATACCCCTATTGTCTTTCTTGTCGAGAATTACGTGAGAAGATGGATGTAGCTTCATAATCATAAAAATCTAATTTGAGCTGAACTCTGCCAAGATCAGAAACTGAAAAAGCACATCTGCTTTGTTATTTATCTCTTTCCCAAAGATTCTTTTCTCTGTACATGTGACACCGACACAAGCTTTCGCAGTCCAGTAGATATAAATCACTGGGGCTCAAAGGGAACAGTGACAGGAGCAGATACACTGTTAGTCCACAGGCCCAGACAACTCCCTCACACTCCTCCTCCTCACACACCCAATAGAAAAAGATAGCAGCTCCACCTCCTGCTCTTTGTGTGCTTAATACACACTGCATTCCTTTCACATCTCCACACTGTGGTGTCGGGGTTGCAACATCCTTCTTTTTCTGTAATTTTCGGGAAGTAATTGAGTGAGAAAGTGTGTTCACTCTTGCTGACAACAGGCGATGATGGCAGACGGAGACAAGACAAGAGGAAACTAAAATTATTCAGACCTGTGCTGTTAATGGCCGACAGACATAAATGTCAAATAAAGAGGAAATGAAAGCACAACCACAGAAAGAAAGAATGCTGATATAATGAAAAGAGTTTCCACTCCCTTTTTAAAAAAAATAAAACTGAGACTTTATTTACAGTAAACAGACTATCTGGATTCTCCTGCCATTCTTCCTGGGTGTGACTTTATATCCCTTTGAAACGCTACTGTCTGCTCCAAGTATTCCAAGGACACCACTGCCAGGATCATGTTGCATCCAAACACCAACTTATCAGCATTCAAGTCTGCTGGAGGTGAATGTCCACGAGAAATCTGCTCGGCTTGTCATCTCTTACTTTTGTCTGAAATCTGGGGTTTTCGTACCTGTGATGTTTTTGTGGAGCTCGTCGTCGTTTTCCTTGAGCGCCTCGACCAGCTGCGGGATGCCGCCCTCTTCGATCAGCGCTACTTTATTGTCCATATTCTCGTAGATGATGTTGCGTGTGGCCCCAGTGGCGTAGCGCTGCACTTCCTGGTTCTCACTGTTGAAGAGTCTCACCAGCTCGCTGATGCCCTTCAAACGACGCACCTGAAGAAACAAAATCATTCTTTAATACTTTGTTTTTAACTTTCTCTTATTATTTGGTGTGCTTTTTTTATTTGCTTTAAAGAGAAACTAAGCATGAGAGAGTTCTGATGGATTAAAATCTTTATGTCATACAAGGCTTCTTTTAAATTCAGTTTCAGTTTCGTCTCATGTATTGTCTATCAATGTGCCCGGGCTGTATCCATGGCAGTGAGTAAGAGTTGCCAAATTCTTTTAACCATTCTGCTAATAGTGAGATAAAAAGATTCACAAACTGTGCATGTGTCTGTTTTATAAATATTTTTGAGCTGCTGAGATGATTTTGCCACATTTAGCTCTACCCCCTGTCTTATTTCACTATGCACTACTGTCTGCATTTGTTGGATTCTAATATGAAAGAACATTTCTTTTTTAGAGGAATAATTACACACTGACCACAAGTGTCTGCCTTTCCTCAATAGGCTAAAAGCTCTGAGGCGTAACTGAGTCATATCAGATAAGAGGTTTAATCTTCACTATATACAGTATCTGCCATTCAACATGCATACAGGGCAGAGTCCACATATGTTTACTGCCTGATTTAAAAAAAAGCAACGTCAAGCAACTGGAGCACCAGAATAGAAGCAAAGCTGTCTCTGCCTCCTGTCACCAAGGCTCATCCACCACTGGACGCCTACAGATTTTATGACTCAATGCGGATTGCACAGAGGAGAGACCTGGAGGAATTTGAACCACAAGTATAAAGTACCTCATGTTTGGCTTCGCTGTCGTTGTAACACTCATGTTGAATGTAGGCGGCGCCCAGAACCTGTAAATCTTGGTCAGAATCCCTCAGGTGTTGCACCGCTGTGAGCATGTCCAAGGAGGCGATCCTAGCAAAGAAGCAAAAAACACATTAAAACAAAGAATGTAAAACATTTGAATAATGTTGCTACGCTGCACTCTAAGATAGCACAAAATACTGCATGACCTCTGGATGTTCCAGTGAAAACCAACAGAGCTGCTGCAGTGATTACTGTAATCATTCATGGATGATTTGTGTCATGTCTGAGAAATTGTTGTATTTTTTTCGCTGGTCTGTGAAACGGCTCGGCTAACCACACACTGCGGGATGTGTGAAATGCAAGGACTGAAACTAGGCTGCCACACCCAAAACCTGTTCCTCCACCTCCTGATCCACAGCTCCAAGTAAACGCACGCACGCACGCACACACACACACACACACACAC